TTTTTCTATATATTTTTAGTTGTCCAATTAATTTCTTTCTATTTTTAGTAGAGACGGGATCTCGCTCTTGCTCAGGTTGGTTTCGAACTTCTGAGCTCAAACAATCCGCCCACCTCGGCCTCCCAGAGAGCTAGGATTACAGGCGTGAGCCACCACACCCGGCCTGTTTTTTGTTTTTTTTAATTGATACAGAGTCTTGCTCTGTTGCCCTGGGGAGAGTGCAGTGGCATCATCATAGCTCACTGCAACCTCAAATTCCTGGGCTTAAGTGATCCTCTTGCCTCAGCCTCTGGAGTAGGTGGGACTACAGACACGCACCACGACACCCGGCTAATTTTTCTGTTTTTAATAGAGGTGGGATCTCGCTCTTGTTCAGGCTGCTCTTTGAACTCCTGAGCTCAAGCAATCCTCCCACCTTGGCCTCCCGGAGTGCTAGGATTATAGGAGTGAGCCATCCCCAGCAAGGAGGTTTTGATTTTAGAACAATACCAAGAAATGTGTGGATTTTTTTAAAAAGTTTGTAGTTGTCACAAAAGCTGTTTTGACTTTAAGATGGTCAGCTATGAACTTTGCAACATGAGAAAAAAGCTTCCTTTGCTTTTTTTTTAACCCTACCTGTAATTTGATGGATGATCCATTTCACTTTAGAGTATGTTCCATTTTATAAAGTTGATAGTTCTTGAGTTGGTAGGTATAGCAAATATGGTAGGTGACTTTTTCTTAAAGATGTCTAATTAGTGACAATTTAACAAACTAGATTTAAAAGTGAATACATGCACATGGTAGGAAAGTGCAAATTGTACAGAGCATAAAATAAAGTGTCCCCATTCCAGCCCCTCAACCTCCCCACCTGAGTTCTGTTGACAGTTTATTTCTGGTTCTTCTAGAGTTTGCGTTCGTTACTTTGAAAATTGTACTTTTGTGATTTATCAGCTTTAGATAGTATCTAGCAATCCTTCCACTGAAAGATGAGAAATTCAGTGCTCACTACCTTTTCCTTCCTAGACAAGTGCCTTTCAGTTTTTGATAAACTATTATTTTTAGTTCTCCGAGGTACCTTTATGGCTTTTTTCTTCTTTTAGAATCCCATTGCCAGAAAATGGCTTTTAATATATAAATTCGTGATTTATTAAATTGAGATAGTCTCCACTGACTCTATGGAAAATGGAGAAATTAGTACTTTTCTTTTTTTTCCCCATTTTTATTAGTTTGACAAATATAAATAGGCCTACGTAGTAAATTAGAATCATTTTTAAAAATTTTTTTATTTATTTTATTTTATTTTTTATTTTTTTTGAGACAGAGTCTCACTCTGTTGCCTGGGCTAGAGTGCGATGGTGTCAGCCTAGCTCACAGCAACCTCAAACTCCTAGGCTCAAGGGATCCTCCTGCCTCAGCCTCCCAGGTAGCTGGGACTACAGGCACGTGCCACTCTGCCTGGCTAATTTTTTCTATTTTTAGTTGTTTGGTTAATTTCTTTCTATTTATAGTAGAGACGGGATCTTGCTCTTGCTCAGGCTGGTCTTGAGCTCAAGCGATCCTCCTGCCTTGGCCTCCCAGAGTGCTAGGATTACAGGCGTGAGCCACCGTGCCTGGCCTAGAATCATTCTTAAGCTTCTCCTTTGGAAAGAAATCAAAGTCTGCTGTACTTTGGGAATATAGATGTCACATTTTCTTGGCTTATTGCTCCAATTATTAAAAAGAAGAGAATAACATACAGCTTTTTTAGTGTTTGACTAAAATTTTTCCAAGACATTCAAGTTAACATTGTCTCTTAAAACCTATGGAATTTAATATGCTGAAAAAAAAAAAAAACAAAACTATGCAGTTTTACTAAGGAAAGAATGAATAACCTCTTTCCCGTTACAGTGTTTTTTATTCAATGAAGGCTTTCTAATGACACCTTCATTTCAAGCCTCATTTAAAGACAACATCAGCACTCTTTAAGTTATACCAATTTCTGTTAGATCTGTTAAGGTTATGTGTTTATATAGTCTAAACTGATGGTTGTGATATTACGTAGTCAGCTGCTCATTAATATAGATGAAACTATAATGAGTCACCAACAGGGATAGTTAATAAACAAGTTGGCTGACTAGAACACCTACTTGATTTTAAAATAGAAAATCCTTTCTTTATTCAAAGAAATGTAAGGACATTCTGCATTTGAAAAAGTTTTCTTCTCCCTCAGCTCTTCTGAATGGTGGTGAACACATAGCTTTCCCCCTATCGTTTTCTAGAAATATTTCTTTCCTGTGAATGTTGAATCTTGTAATCAGAATTTTTTAGTGAATAAATTGCCCTTCTCTTTCAAACACATGTATAGTGTTCTCATTCTGTTAAATTTGATCTAAGTGAAAATGTGATGTCTCTCTAGATATAACAGACATTTAATTTTATTTTTTTCTAGTGTTCAAGCAGGAGATTAATAATACTGAGAATTTGATTTTGTTGGAGACCACCTGAGAGTACCTGTCTCATGGTCTGCACCCCTCTTTCCCTAACATGGGAGCTTTTCAGTGAGAGGCCTTCTTCAATCATTACCTAGTGGTGTTAGTTTGGAGGAAGAGAAACAGGTTTTGTTGGTTAGTGATAGATTGCCATTGTATTTGCTTATCCTTACATGAAGTTACTTGATATTATGGAATAGACTTTTAACAAGGCAATGTTTGGACTGCTCATTTCTTTATATTATATATGTAAGGGAAATTTTGCAAAAAGCTTGTAAAAATTCTTTTTAAACCACTGCTGTCAAGCAGCAATAACAATAGAGAGGATTCCTTCTGTGCACATCTAGAAATAAGAGATTAACTCTTTGCTTATTTGGAATGCATTACTGGTTCAGTGAAGAAGTATGTAGGATTTTTCTCACTGTGAACAAGTCTTGGCAAGACTTATTTTTAAAAGACTTGCAAAATTATGTTAGCAATATACTTTAGTAATGGTTCTGAGGAAATATAATAGTATCTTGAGTTGAGGGTTGGGGGAATGTTAATTGGTTGGTCTTGGAGCTTCTGGCATGACACTTAACCTTAGGGCAGGTGATCCATTATCTTGCCCAGAGAGAGAAAAATAGGACATGGTGACCTGGTGCCCAGAAAGCCAAAAACCAAATGAAAAACTCCCCTCAGAAATTTGCATTAGATAATATAGAGAGCACTGGGGACTGAAACCGAAAAGTTAGAGGCAGAGGCTGGTGAGGCCAGACCTGACCATGTGTAAACTAAAGATCTGAAGAAGCAGAAACAGGAAGCAAAGGAGAAAGAAGCAACTCTGTACGGAAAGATTCTCCCAGAAGTCTTTAGTTCATGATAGCTTTCTTTTTTTTTAATTTCAATATATTTAGGGTATATAAGTGCAGTTTTGTTACATGAGTATATTGTATAGTGGTAAGGTCTGAGCTTTTAGGGTGCCCCTCACCCAAATAGTGTACATTGTACCCAATAGGTAATTTTTCATCTCTCACCTCCATCCCACCCTTCCACCTTTGGAGTCTTCATTGTCTATTATTCCACTCTGTGTGAC